TTATTATTAACTGTTGCAATATCACAAAGAATAAAGGTTCCAGGAAATTAGAAATAGATAAACATTCAAACTTAAATAAAAGTATAAACACTCTTGTTACATACCGTTGAGTAACATTTTGGAGTAAAAGCTTGTTTGTTGTTACCACTCCGTAACAATATCTATATATATTTGAGACATATCAATGATATGATATCGTTTGGCAAAAGATATTTTTTGGATTTTGGATGAAAAAGAGTCTATTTAGTTTTTTCTATATTAATTAATAACTGTTAATTGATAATTTGGCTTGAGCCATTTTAAAATTTTAATTAGCTCTATGTTCATGACATTAAATAGTGTTATGATATTATTGCTACACAGAAAAAAGTTTGTGTCAACAGCAAACATTACTGTTTTTAAATTTGAGGCATTATAAAGATCATTAATATAAATGAGAAAAAGAAGTAGTTCTAGTATAGATCCTTGAGGGACACCACATGTTATATCTAGTAAATTTGTAGAAAAAGGATTTATCAATTTGCATATACTGTTTATGATCGCCTAAATAGCTCTTAAGTAATTTAAGAAAATTACCACAGATTCCATAATTTTTTAGTTTTTTAATAAAAATCTCATGATTCTATCGTATTGAAGGCTTTTGTTAGATCTATGAACACTGCAAGAGTAAATTGTGACTTTTCAAACGAATCTGCAATATTTCTAGTCAGATGCACTGTGTATTTCTAGTCAGATAGCACTGTGTGTTCAGTTGAATTATTTTTTTTTTTAACCCATATTGGGTTATTTTTATTTATAGAAAGATGATCATAAATTTTATTGTAAAGGGTCCTTTCAAAAAACTTTGAAAAACCGGAAAGTAGAGAAATTGGACAATAATTAGTTATTTAATAATCCCCCCTCCCCCTTTTAAATATTGGTGTAACTTAGGCTATCTTTAGTTGATCAGAAAATATACTTTGTTTTATTTAACAACTAAAGACCTGAAAGAGTATAGTTTTTATGATTTCATAAGAACCGATTATAATATTACCATTTATTTAATCTGGGCCTATCGCTTTATTGATTTTTAGCATTTTGTATGCACATTCAAACTCTTTAATAGAAAGTTCAAAGTTATTAAGTATAGAATTCATTGGAAAATTAAACTCATTTATTGTGTTAGTTATATTTGGAATATTTTTTTCTAAACTTGAACAAATAGTTACGAAAAAATTATTTATTTGATTTGCTATCTCTTTAGGATTATATATAAAAAATCATTATTATTTTTAATAAATTTTAACAAGTTGCATGTTTTGATTTTTTGGTTGCCAGTAATTTCATTTAAAATTTGCCATGTGCGTTTAGCATTATTCTTAAACTCCTCTAAAAAGTTTGAGTAGTATTTTTTTTTTAAGTTTTTTTTTTGACTTTCAAAAAGCTTTACATGATTTTTATAAATTTCCTTATTTTTATCTATTTTTGACTTTAAATATTTAATATACAATTTTTGTTTAACTTTGGAAGATTTCCTGATTTTTTTGCAATCCATGGTGACTTGAAGCTTTTTTTGTTTAAGTTATCTTTGTATTGAGGAAAGTTTGCATCATAAACTTCATAGAATGTTCAAAAGAATGAGTTATAAACCACATTTGCTTCCCACAGAAAATTTATGTTTCCAATGTAGTAATGATAGTTGTTGGTTAAATGATGCAATATTTACTTTACTGAAACAGTTTTATGATTACTTGTTTTTTTTTTTATTGGTAATTGTTCAATATCAGTATTTATTGAAAAATAGAAAAATGATCTAAGACATCATTTTTAATTAACCCTTTTTTAAGAGATTCATTAAAAGTGTCTGTTGTAATAATATTATCTATTAGGGATACTGACTACTGATACTAGTTACTCTTATTGGTTTATTGATTAGCGGAATTGTGCCGTTATCTAATAAATCATTATAAAAACTTTTATTTTATGTGATATTTTAATGGGTCTAAATTTATGTCACCAATTATGTAATTTAATTTCTTTTCTATTGTACATTTTTTTATAATATCAGTAATTAAAAAGGACTTGAAACTATTTATTTCACTAGAAATAGATGGTTATGCACCTAAACTTCTAATCTTGTGTGATTGGTCAGAATAAGTTAGTTTTATTTTCAATTCTTTCAATATCTAAAATAATCTTATAAAGTTGATCAAAAAGAGATTATTGAATAAAATTTGAAATTTGTTGATAAGTATAAATTAACTTTAAAATAAATAAAAAAATAACAAATTTAAAGTTGTTATAATATTAAGTATTTAATAAAAAATATCATATTATTGGTGTTGTTAAACTTACAGTAAAAAATGAAAATTATAATAAACATAATAGCTCTACATATTCTATTAAGTTATGTATATTTCTACAAATCTTAAAAAAAACTTTTAAGCATTACTTTAATTTAATGGTAATAAGAAAATTAAAAAAAAGCAGGTTTTAAAAAAAAGAATGTTTAACATGATTTTTTTTTAAAGTAATTGCAAATGCATTTATTTGCAATTACTTTAAAAGCAATTTTCTATTCTTTTGTAAACGCATGTAAAAACCATGCTAAAACATAATTACTTTCTTCAGTTGTGTACTTATTCATTAAACTTTAAAGTTAAATTAAAGAAAGTATTAGCGCGGTTTCTTTTAAAGTCGTTGAAAATGTGTTTATATATATATATATATATATATATATATATACATACATATATACATATATTTATATATATATATATATATATATATATATATATATATATATATATATATATATACACACATACCCAGCTAACATAAAACGTTTAATTTAATTGCCAATATTTGAGAACAAGCTCAAATATTGGCAATGTTCGTCAAATGTTTTGTGTTAGCTGGGTATATATATATATATATATATATATATATATATATATATATATATATATATATATATATATATATATATATATAGCGTGTAAAATAACGGTTGGTCAATGGTCAATGACCGCCCAAAATGAGTAAAATTGCTATTTTGACCTCCCAAAATGAACTCTTGCCGGTCATGGTTGACTGGTTAAAAAATAATTAGAGTTTTGAAAAACAAGATTTGAAAAATAATCAGATTATTATTTGGAAAAAGCATGTACTAAATTGTCATATAATCATTAAAATTTTGAAAAAGTTTATCAGTTTATCAAACTTCCTTTAAGAAGTAAAATGAAAATCTGCGCGCTTAATTTTAAACTATTAACATTGGAGTGAAATTTTAATGTTAGTTATTTGCAAGTTCGAAAAAGGAATACTAATTCCTTAATTATAAAATATTAAGTTATTTTTGTATTTATAAAGTTCAGTCATGAAGAATATATATATATATATATATGTATATATATATATATATATATATATATATATATATATATATATATATATATATATATATATATATATATATATATATATATATATATATATATATATATATATATATATATATATATATATATATATATATATACACACACACACACACACTCTTACATGGTTGTCTCGTTGTTGGGTTTTTTTAAGATTTTTTTTGCAAGATTCTGATACAATGTTCAAGTTACTTTTGTTTTGTTGTCAACGAAAATCTTTTAAAAAAAAGGCGAATACTTTAAACTTTAAAAATAATTGAGACTAGCATGTGATGATGTGCAGAATATAATTTAATTTTTTCATTATAAAATTAAATTTTTTCAAGTTTCAATAAACCTGAAAACTCATGACTTTATTGTAAACATCTTGTATAATAACGAAGGTTGAATATAATAAAGAATAAATATTTTTTATAAGTTTAATAAGAAAAAAGTTTATTACCGTAAAAATATATTAAATCTAATTTTAGTATTCTTATATAATTAATACTTTTTAATATTATTATATTTTAATATTTATGGTTACAAAAGAATAAATATATTAATATTATAATCAAAGTGATCTAAATTCTTAATACAATTATTAACAAAATGATATCATTAAAAAAAGTATTATAAAAAATTATATACCTTAATATTTATTGTAAGTCTATTATACAAAGTATAAAAAAATTATTATATATTTATACAAAGATTAGTATCAATTATTATTATTTATAGTTTAATATTATTATTATTATTAAAAATGTTTAAAAAATAATAATTATAAAAATATATACATAAGACTGTTACAATACACTAAACTAAAAAACTGTTACAATAATCTGTTTCAAGTTGAGAGTGAACAATGCCACGAGCAATTTTGTTAGCTGCTTCTTTTGTGAGACATTTATGTATGTATAAAAAGCACGAATATGGTTGTTGCAGGATTTAATAGTGTTGCTTATATGTTGATCTAAGAAGAGTGTTGAATCTAGGGTGACACCTTGGATTCTCACCTAATTTACTGTAGTTAGTGTTGTTCCAGAGAATTAAATTTTAAAATCATTTTTAAATTTTCCAGTTCATTTCCTAGATCAAATAAGCTTCTGTTTTGCTTAGGTTAAGCAGAACTCCATTTTCTAGAAACCATTTTGTGACTGCATTAACACATTAGGTGATTTTGTTAATGTTATCTTTTCCTGGGGTTAATGAAAGTATATAATTGGGTATCATCGAAATATTGATGATGATTTGTGTCATGTTTAACTATAATATGATATATTGGTGAGACAAACATCAAAAATAAAAATGGGCATAATACACTACCTTGTATTTTTACCTTGTAACTTAATACAATACCTTACTCATGTGTAATCCAATATTTGACCTTTTAATTATTTATCAAACTTAAAACTTGTGGACTCTTTTTGTTGTATTCTCTAGATAAAGTATTGTAATGGTTCTTTGTCCTACTTGCTACTTTATCGTACTTCAACTCAAATAGACTACTTTTTTAAAAAGCATTTTGTAAATTTTATTTTATAATTTGAAATTTAGTGTGTTATTTAGAAATGTAGTTGTAGTTAATTTGTTTCATAGAAAAATTCACAAACATTACTATTTCATCATTATACCGGTTCAGTCAGCAAAAAACGACCTGCTGATGACAATAATATGGAAGAAGATAAAATAATTAGTGGTAATGTTTTTTTTTGTATATATTTTAAAATTGTTTAAGATTTGTTTCTTATTTGATTTTAATTTGATTTATATCAAGAACTAGTTATATCATCATGATCATCATGATCATCATCATCATCATTATCATCATCATCATCTTCAATTTAAATAATTAGTTTAATCATTAGATAATATTAGTATATAATACAGCAAATAAAAACATAAAATTTCACAATATGCCATTGTATGACTATACTTACATAATTTTCACAATATAATATGCCATTGTATGACTACACTTACATAATTTTCACAATATAATATGCCATTGTATGACTACACTTACATAATTTTCACAATATAATATGCCATTGTATGACTACACTTACATAATTTTCACAATATAATATGCCATTGTATGACTACACTTACATAATTTTCACAATATAATATGCCATTGTATGACTACACTTACATAATTTTCACAATATAATATGCCATTGTATGACTACACTTACATAATTTTCACAATATAATATGCCATTGTATGACTACACTTACATAATTTTCACAATATAATATGCCATTGTATGACTACACTTACATAATTTTCACAATATAATATGCCATTGTATGACTACACTTACATAATTTTTATGTCATTTTTTAATATAGATACATGCAAGAAATCCAAAAAAGATATTCAAAATGAAACAGGTATTTAAATTTTTTATTTTAATCTTATCATTTCTGGGCTAGATATATTTGTTCATAGGATACCAATCAACACTAGTTGACTGAAATAAAGTTTAAAAGTAGGGCATCAAGTCAATTTCCAGATGATTAATTTTTCAGTAAACTTTCACCTAGTTTTTTTAAGCATTTTTTTAAGTACTTTATGAATTGCACATTTTGTTGGTGCAAATATTGCTTATTTTGTTATACAATCAAATAATTATCGAGAAGCTCATTTTAAATATCAGTATTAAAAAAAAAGATTTTAATAAAGTTTTTTTTACTTTATTTTTTTATTTTTTATTTTAACTTCTATTCTATGGACTATATGTCACTTCTATTCACCATTGCTGGTGAATAGAAATGCAGTATAAGATATAAGTAGTATAAAAATTTATTATAAATACAATATATAGGATATTAAAATTTTTAGATGTTTAGTCTTTCTTTTTTTCTAATTTTTTGGCTAATAAAAAGTTTATGTTGACATCAAACCTAATGTTGTTAATAATTGTATGTGTTATAATTGCATTGATATTATCTACTAAAGATAGATCCTTAAATTATTTTAGTTTTAATTTGATGTCGGTATTGCAATGCTTGTTAATTATATTGCTGAAAAAATTCTTAAATGTCTGTTCATCATGTTTGTTGGATACTTTGAAATTTAAAAAGTTTTTATTTCTAGTATTGTACATGATATCAATGTTAATAAAATGAAATTGTTTAAATAAGCTAATCGGTTACTTGTAATAAATTATTTTATTGTATAGTTGTAGTGCTCTGCATATAAATTGATGATGAAAACTGTGTTGTATGGTTTAAGTTGTTGATTTATTTGAAATATATCTTTGTTCTGAATATTAATTTTGAGTAGTAGGAATAAAATCATATAGTATGCATTGCTAAGGCTTCAAATTTCTTTTCTTGTGTAGTAAATTATAAGACTTGAACAGTAATCAAAGTTAGGTAGAATAAACGTTTTGAAGAATTGTCAACGAACTTTAAAGGCAAAACCAAATATATTAGTTATTGAGAATAATTTTTTATAAGCTTTTGCTTTATCTCTTTTATGTGTTTGGTAAAATGTAATTTGCTGTTAATAATGACACCAAGCAAAGAAAATGAATTTACTAATTCAATTTGGAACTTATCACCTAATATGATTGATGTTGGCAATATTATTTTGGTTGTAAGTTTATTTGTTAAAATCGTTGCTTTTGTTTTTTCCGAATTGATGTCAAGTTTATTAGCATAGCACCACTCGGTAAATTTATCAAATGCTGACTTAGTCTTTGTTATTAGATGATTTATATTTGTATCACTTGTTATTAGAGTTGTATCATCTGCAAGTAATGTCGATTTAAATAGCGTTAGATATTCGGGTAGGTCATTTATGAAAACTAAAAAAAAAAGAGGTCCTAAAATTGAACCCTGTGGTATACCGATATTAACTTGTTCTTCATTAGAGTATGCATCTATAACTTTTGTAAACATTTTCTATTATGAAAGTAGTTGCTTATTAAGTTCAAAGCATCAGTTGAAAAACCGTAATGCTTAAGTTTCATAATCAATAATTTGGAATCTACTAAGTCAAAAGCTTTTCTGAAATCAATAAATAATAATATGGTAAAGAGTTTTTTGGAGTTGCTTAGTTTTACTTTAGAGATAAGAACGTGCAATGCAGTTTTGCGCGAATGATTGCATCTGAAGCTGTGTTGATCATCATTGAATAAATCATTTTGTTCAAAGTATGTAGTTATTCAGGCTTGGACAGGAATGGCAAGTGATCGAGTGCTATTGTTGACCACACAAATTATTTTATTTTTAGACAACTTGACCACTTTTTGTTTATATGACAAACATTCCAAAAATGCGCTAAATTTAGAAACACGATGCTAAACTTAAACTTGGAAAAAAAATTTAAAAAAAAACTAACAAAAAAAAAATTCCTAACAAAAAAAGAAAGGAAAAAAAATTATTATAAAAAAAGAAATTATATAAGCACAAAAATTGAAATAAAAAATTCAACTCTAAGCCAAACATTTTGTTACGTATTTAATTATGTTTAAAATAAATGTTATTAAAACTTAATTTTTTATACATTTTATTAAAGCTATGCAAAACGCTTTTAAATTGCTTTTAAATTAAGTGACAAATTACTTCTAATGATTGTTTAATAAATGATCAAGTTTCATTAAATTCATTAAAAAGTGTTGTAAATAATATTTTTAAATAGTATCAATACTTATTTTTTCAAAAAAATTGCAACAAAAATAAAACTGTTTAAAAAAATGTGGTAGTCATTTTTAAATAGTGATTTTTAATAATTTCATGCTCTAATTAGTAGGTTTAGTTAAAATAAAGGTTTTAACTTTTTTATTCGTTAAAATAGGGAGAAAGAAAAAAAATGCGCCTGCGATTTAATTAAAATAAACTGTCAACAAGCAATTAAAATATGTTTGTTTAAAAGATTTTTATTTTAATTACAACTTTATTAATAAGCACTTCACTTAATAAATTTAAAAGTAATTATTAAAGATTAAAACTTATTCATTCCTTTCGTATTAAAAAAAAAAAAAAACTTTCAAAAAATATGTTTGTTTAAAAGATTTTTATTAATTAATATTAAGCTTTTTTAAAATTTTTTATTAATCAGCATACGCATTTATGTAAACAATCGTTTATGTAAACATTTATGTAAACAAATATTATGTAAACAATCGTTATTATTAATTTTATGGTTTTATTAAAGCCTTCACAAAAAATAAAAACTTTTTAATCGCTGATCTTTAGAAAAGATCAACAATTAAAACTTATTCATAAAGTAACACTTTTTTGGTTGCATTTAAATTGTTAAAACGTCAAAATAGCTGTGGTCAAGTTGTAAAGAAAAAACAATATTAGCGTGGTCAGTGCGATCGCACGCCATTCCTGTCCAAGCCTGGTTATTCTTTTAGCAATTATTTGTTCAAACACTTTTGTTAATGGAGAGATTATAGTAATACTTAGATAACTATTAATATTGTGAATATCACCTTTCTGTTTATAAAGCGGCATAACGCTACCTATTTTAAATTCACTTGGAATACAGCCTGTTTCTAAACATTTTTTGAATATAATTATTAAAGGATCAGCGATTGAATCATATGATTTTTTAATAATTTTCGTTGGAATATCTGAATAACCACAGCTACTTTTTACTTTTAAGTTTTTTATTGCATCGATGATTTCATATTTATTAATTGGATAAAATGAGAAATATAATATATGTTTTTTTAATATTATGAGTTATTTGAAGATTATCGAAGTGGTTGTTAATAAAGTTATATGAATCATTTTGTATACGTTCGGAATTAGATTCAAATGCACTAAAGAATTTATTAAAAAATAATGACTTATTGATGTTTGAGTATGCTTTTTTGTTATTGTAAAGTATAAAATCCGTAAAAGAAGTATCTTCAAAGCTTGATTTAATTTTAATGAATTTTGAGTAGAAGACAAGTCTTTTGAGTTATTAAAATTTTTGGATTCTTTATGCTATTATTATTTTTGCTGTTTTATTTACTAGTAATTTTTTTTTTCTTGTTAAAATCAGAAGAATTTATTTAAATATGATTGGTTCCATTTTGTTTTTCATCTATAATAATGATCTTCCTCACAATCTTAAATCTAAACTGGCTATATTTGCTTATAATGTAACTATATACTCCACTCTTGACAAAAGGCCATTACTTTTTGATCCTTTAAAACAGCTGGTCTTGAATCAGATAAAAATATATTGTAAATGTTGTTGGGCCTGAAAAGCTTGAGTCATTGTCCCTTTGTTGTAAGGTTACATCTATTTTATTTTTGTACAAATACTATCATGGTTGCTGCAGATGAGCTATTATCTCAATTCTATAAGTCAAAATTCATTCTCACTTGACTCATTATTCAACAAAGTTGCATCCTTTTACTTTTACTTTATGTTCTAAAAACTTTTATTTATCTAGTTTCTTTGATTACAAATCAATGTTTTAAAAATCTCCTATCTTCATTTTTCTTCATTTTTTTTTTCTTCTTTCTTCATTTTTTCCTGGCTCATACATTTTACAGTTTTTCAAGTCTACTTTTATTCATTTTTTTTCTTTTTAACAGTATTCTTTGTTTTCTGGTAACTCCCAATTAAAACAGTGGTTGCTTGCAATCTTGTTGCAAGTTGTTGCTTGCATTCTTGTTGCAAGTGGTTGCTTGCATTCTTGTTGCAAGTGAACTAGTTTAAAAAAAATTAAACTGTTGCAGTTTACTATGGAATAACTTTTTGTCATACCTGCATCGCTTTTTTAGAGCATTTCTTGATAGAAAAGTTAAATGTTAAATGAGTTATCATTTAAATCATCAGATGACAAGTCGAGTTAATATTTTTTCTTTTTTTGTGTAACTATTTATGTTGCCATTGCACTACATCACTTACTGTGGTATTCTTTTAACTAAGCGTGTTTAGCATTAGTAAAAGTGTGATCTTTTGTCATATTCTAGTTGTATTAAATATCATGAACATAAATTTGGTACAAGGTTTTACAATATTATATTAACTATATATTTATAAAGTATAAGCTAAATAAAATATTAGCAAAAAATTCGAACCACAGTCAGTCACAGAGAGATGAAATTTCATGTGATGTCTAATAAGAGTTAAAAAAATCTGGAAATAAAGCATTTCATAAGAAATATAAGAGAAGCTTAGATAGGAATTAAAGAAATATGTACATAATTGATAACAACAGAACATATTAATACCAGGATTGACAAAAAAAAAACCAAACCCTAAAACCCATCCCTAATTTACAACTGATAAGACTGATTTAGCTTATAAAAATTCTTTTTTCTTAACAAATTGCAATTTTATACTGTTTTTTGATCATTCATTTTTGATGAGTTTTAAGACTCATCAGAAATGAATGATCAAATTATAAAAACTTGAATTTATACTAAAAGTT